GAACTTTCCAATATATTTTTCGATAGAAATTTGTCCCCAATTAATTAATTATTAATAATTGTTTCGCGCAGTGTTTGAATTGTTGTCGAAGATTGTCGAAGACGCCATTGCTTCTTCATTAATTACTATCCTTTACGCAATTAATTTATGAAACTTTATGCACTCATTGCAAAGACAATGTTCTTGCGAATCTTCTCATATAACTTTCGATCACATTTTGCTTCTAGTTTCGTTGAGTATTAAATATTTTCACGGAAGATCGTGATGGTCGCCGTTACGAAATCATAGACGCCATAAAACAAAAATTAATAACTAACAATTTAGAGTTAAATTCTTTACGAATATTATTTAGGAATGTAGCCTGAAGTTCTAGCTTTGCAATGAAATTATAAAAGTTCATAAATTAATTACAGAAATTGAGTAATTAATAATTTTTCACTGCCGGAGCCATTCTATCCTTTTCTATCCCCTCTCTGTCCTTGTCTGTCACGTGACCACTTCGACGACCTCCTCGCCTATTCTATATTCCTATTACTTTCTTGCTTTTTGAGCCCAAATCATAGATGGCGCTGATCGCAGGCGGTAAAATTTGTATTTATTCGGCAGTAGAAAATTAATAAATTTCCAAGTGTTTGTAATTAATTCATGAACATTTATAACTGCACAGCAAAGTTGGAATTATAGGCATCATTCTTATGCAACGTTTAATTTAATAATTAATACTTACATGAGCGATAGGTTTTGCGTTTCCTGTTAATCTCTAATGATTATATTATTATAATGCTATAGGAAAGTGTTATTCTTGCATAGTATTCTTATTATTTTGTAATAAATACATACAAGCATAAGAAAGCGTAAAAAATAAATTTTTTTATTAAGAAATTTTAGTTACATTTGTTTATTTACAATGTTTTCATAGGCGAAAAATGAATACAAAATAAAAAGTAGATTGAAAAAGACTACAAAAAGTTACGGGAGGGACACGGGGAATCGAACTCCGGACTTTCAGCATACAAATTCTCGACCATCGCTGTTATGCCACGATTGCACTACAAGGATTTTGGAAATGACTGTATAAGTACGTAAGTAACAAAACCTGAATCGAACTCCGGACTTTCAGCATACAAAATCTCGACCATCGCTGTTATGCCACGATTGCACTACAAGAATTTTGGAAATGACTGTATAAGTACGTAAGTAACAAAACTTTTATCGTAAGTATCTTAAAAACTTTTTTATAGTTGTGGCTATAATAATATTTATTCTTGAAGTGCACGACGATATCTATAAACCTGTAAAGTTTCAACTAAATCGGTGACCCGAAGGACTTGCACTCTCCTGGTCAGTGATATATCTTTTCTACTAATTTGGTAGGGCGATCCATCTAAAACTGAGCAATATTCTATGAAGGAAAAGCCAGAAGAATTTCAGTGTTGTTCCCGTGTCATAAATTAACGTTATTTGACGCTACAAATGAAGTTGCATGACCTCTGTGTGACTGATACGAGTTAAACTCGACCACCTCGTATATAAATACATGTCACAGATCACGTATGCTTTGTCGATAACTGTTTATACCTTTTTTCCATGTTAAACTATTTGAATGTCAAGCCGATGAGATGAATGTATTGGGCGTATTCGTTATACTAAGATTTGTAATTTTTAATTGATTTTTATTAAGTGTATGTAAATTATTATACGTACGAAATAATATATATGTTTATTCATACTTGCACTTGTATTACCAATTTTTATTTCAACTTTGTTATTATCTTTTTAGAAAAAATGTATATGCACATTTTAATGAACTGCGTGAACTTCATACTGAGGAAGGAACGAAAATGCTAATGTCATCAGTAGTTAATGTTTACTGTGACATGTACATATGCACATGTAAATATATTATGAAAACATTTGTTTCTCCTTGAAACATTCTTATTGCATTGAATAAAAACTTGGAACGTATTTGTACTTGTTATTACTATATCTGCTCAAAAGTAAATTATTCGGTATGCTTTTGTCGAGAAATTTCGTAATAGTTATATATTGAACTATCATTATACTTTCTTCTATATTAGAAGACGTTCATATATGATAAAGGTACGCGCGCGCGTGTGTGTGTATATATGTATCTTTAAGATTGTTTTCAATCTATTTCCAGTCTATTTGCAGAAACTGTAATAAACATGCACCGAGTCACGTAAAAAGAGCTCATTATTGGTGGAATGTTCAAAACAAGACTATTGAGAATAAACCAATATCAAACGTCTCGTGGTATGGCATACGTGGCGAGATTCAGGTGTTCAACCCTGACCGATTTTCATGTCTTCGACCGATACACAGTGGAGTGGCTTCTATTATACCCTATACTCTACAAATTGCTTTTCTTCATTGTTTCTTTAAGCTATTCGATTCATGACCTGCACGAATGATAAAAGATTTTTATAAAGTGTCCTGCGTTTATTTAAAGGAAAATAAATAACAAGAATCGGAGAGTTGTATAAACTATCGCTATTTGTTATATACATACAATATGTTGGACTTCTTGTCTAATCCAATAGTGAAATGTAAATTGAATTAAAACGCTTATTCTGAAGATATTAATTTGTTGATAGATTTACATTATCTAACTTGGATTAATCGGAATAAAGTCGATATGTCGATTAGTCGATACATGCATCAGGCGTGAACAAAACTAGTCGAACAAGATAGTCAAACAAGATAGTAGAACAAGATAGTAGAACAAGATATTCGAACAAAATGTTTAATGTTATACATATATTGCATATGCATATACATAGATGTGATATGTTCAATAAAATATCGTACGAATGTATTTTCATTATAACGTATCGTAAACATTAATTCATTGTTTTCAATGACTTTTCAACATATAGACTGTATTCAAATATATGCTCTGTCGATAATCTCGATTTGTTCGATTAATAACTTCCTTCACTTGTATGGCTTTTCTTATAACGTGCGGCTAATATTTCTAGGTTATGTCTAACCTGACTCACTCGTGTTCCGAAACTTTCTGTCACGTAAGGAACAAATGTAAGAAACACAACAAACGTAATGGTTACTATTATACGATAATTTCGACTGATTTTTTTTATTTACGAAATGTCAGAAACTAAAATTTTTCCAAAATATAAATTCTAATAGGTTTGCAAATAGGACATATATTTGTAAACATTATTGCTAGTTATTAGTATTGCATTCTTGTGCGATATATAATGCAAATCTTGAATATAAAATTCTTGTTGTTGCAATTACGAAATCATGGTGCAAACCTCAATTTGAAATTACGGCAATTTGCACGAATTGCTTATCACAGAAACGATGAAGTTAAACCGAATCCAAAGGTTCTAGCTCTCCGAGAAAAATTAGTATATTGTGATTATTTAGACTATGAACGTGTACAAATAGGACAGAAATATATGCAAATGAAAAGATTGAAATTAGCGAATGAAAAATGTGAAGAGTACCAACAAATTGCTCATGAACCTGTATTTAGTGTTATGTTAAACGACCGGGAAAAGGATAAAAACGAAGATGATTCTCTGATAGAGAAGGAACATGACATAGATGAAGAACAAATTTTGAAGAAACAGAAAGCTTTACATATGCCATACGCAGTCATTCATTCGTATGAAAGGACTGATTTAAAGCCAGATGATGTGGTGCCATCGGGTGTGGATTTACTGAATGAAAGATACAAAAAATTGTATGAGAAGTACTTGGAGCTAGAAAAGCATGACTTGAATGATAAGAATGGTAAACATCGACTCAAGTTTGAAGAATTTGTAAAAGCCAATAAAAAATATATACCAAAAGGGGAAGTGTGGAAAGTTCCACATACTTGGATGACTGACTATGAGCAGTTTGATGATACTTTAATTGATGTGTATTCGTATAAAAATTATGGTACAGCAGATCCTAATTCAGATGTTACTTCTATACCATGTGGTGGATGTGGTGCTTTATTACATTGTAAAGATCCAGAAATTCCAGGGTATTTGCCATTGGAATTACTTTCACCGCAAGATAGCGAAGAGTTAAAATCAATGATATGTCAAAGGTGTCACTTTTTGAAATTTTACAATGCAGCTTTGGAAGTAAAAGTTTCGATCGAAGATTATCCAAAATTGTTAAAAGTGATCAAAAATAAGAAATGTGCCATTATCCTGATAATTGATTTAACTGATTTCCCTTGCAGTATTTGGCCTGATTTGAAAACTATCATTCATCCTTTTACTCCTATTTTCCTTGTTGGAAACAAAGTCGATTTGTTACCCAGGGATTCCAAGTTATTCTTTGAAAATGTTAAACAGCTCTTACTAGATACTGTAATTGATGTAACTGGTGTAAAAAGGGAAAATATTACACATGTTGAACTCATATCTGCGAAAACTGGATATGGTATAGAACAACTTATAAATAAGTTGCAATATAAGTGGCAATATAGAGGTATATAATCAATAGTAATTTTTTTTTTTTAACAAGACAAATCTATAGAAGACAAATTTGTTGCATCAAAGATTTTTATTTTCTGGTTATAGGTATAATGATTATATTGCCATTACTTAAATGTCGTTATTTCAGGTGATGTTTATTTAGTTGGCTGTACAAATGTTGGAAAATCTTCTTTGTTTAATATTTTATTAAAATCTGATTATTGCAAGGTACAAGCTGTCGATCTCGTGCAGCGTGCTACAGTATCTGCTTGGCCAGGAACGACATTAAACTTATTGAAGTTTCCAATTTTAAATCCTACTGATAAAAAACGTTGGTTAAGAATGGTAAGGCTTAAAAATGAACAATTTTATAAGAATGAAGAAACAAAATTAAGGAATTATCAATTTAAAATAACAAAAAATATACGGTATGCGACGTTAAAAGGTAATGGAATAATTTTAAACTTTCTATTAATTTCTGTCGATTTAAATTTGAACTTTTAAATTATATGTATGTAGGTCACGTTGGTACATCGTTTACCGGGAACGCGCTTGAAGACGATTGTCCCGATCCGTTCGCAGAAAGATCGTCTGCTTTTATGTCAAAGAAACTTGTTCTAGACGAATCTAAACCAGAATATAAACAGAGTCGTTGGTGTTATGATACTCCAGGTACCATACAGACCGATCAAATACTAAATTTATTAACGACTGACGAACTACTGCTAACATTACCACAACAAATTATTACACCGAGAACATTCCTTCTTAAACCGGAACAAACTGTGTTCGTGGCTGGTATGGGAAGATTAGATTATCTTGAAGGAAAAAGGTATATAAGGTACATACGCATAGAAAATTCTCGTATTATCATATCTCGAAGGGTAGCTATTAGTCTTAAACTAGCTAAACATAATTAGACTAGAAATTCATTTGTTTCTCCTTTTATGAGATAGATGCACGGTATTCAAAAGTGATCAGCTACCTATAACAATATGTTATACCGCTGATGCGAATGAGGTGTACGATCAGTTGTTGGAAACTGAAGCATTCGTTGTACCCGTGAATGATCCGGAACGATTAAAATTATGGCCGAAATTGGAATCAAAAGAAGTACAAGTAACCGGGGTAAATTCTCCATATTCTGTTGCTGATGTTGTGCTCTCCAGTATAGGTAATTATAGGAGTTTTTTTTGAAAGAGTAGTAAACAATGTTGTTCGTGCAATAATTTGATTGATGAAAGTTTCATTAAATGGACTTTATTCACAACAGGTTGGATTGCGATTAAACCTAATAAAACCCAAATCGTATCGTTAAGAGCATGGACGCCTTACGGTCGTGGTATATACTTCAGATCTCCGCCATTGTTGAAAAGATCGGTGTGCTTTCACGGTACAATAATTCGAGGTTCTCCAATGTTTTCATTGGGTCGGCGGGTACATGTTACATAATTAAAGTATACGTCGAACTTTGTTGTAGTACTAGTGTTTGACCAAGTTATCGGGATTCAATCGGATTTAAGTAACTCAATTGTTTCCATAAAGTTACATTTACTTTAAACTTTCGTCAAATGAGCAATTTGAAGGAAAAATATACGTATTCTTACGGTATGAAATTTTTCAATCGTATACACGTTGTGCTCGAAATTTCGTTTCTGATAAAATTGTTCCAAACTTTTGTAAAAGCATTGCCTCCTTATACCTTTATAACGGGTATAATAAAATGTTATTTCTTTATTCCTTCCTTCCTTCTTGACAATTTTGTTTCACTAGGGAAAACGATTTACTAGTATCGAACCTACGCGTTTATTTATGCCCCCTTTCCACGTGACACGACTTTACCCTGCCTTCTGAGAGATAAGTCGAAGCTGTTGGCCGCAAATCCCTGCAAGAACAAGAACGAAAACAAGAACAAGATGTCCGAAACGTTACGAAAACAATTGTGCCACGTGCACGACAAACTTACTTAGAAATTAGATCTCGTGATGCTAAGTGACCGTTCGATGAACGAGCACGATAGCAGCGACGTTGGTAATCATACAAGTTTGTTGAATTCTCGATCGATCTGTCATGGAAGTTATCGTCACATTCATTGGAGAAATAACATTTATATTTGAAACAGACAGGGCAACTGTCGAAGATGTGTAAGTTGCCACAAACAGAGGAAACTCGATGATATCTTGGCGGCATATTGCAATCTGCATCAATAACGACGTCAACGTTTTGATCTTTTGACTTTGATTTTTGTTTTATCGGGTGGTAACATTGGTTGATTCCAGATAGTTCTTTTTGATGCGAATATTCTACATCGTTACACGATTTGCATTGATACCGTGCACTGTGAACATTTATTTAGACTATATATATGATTATGAGAATTTGGTTGAATTGGGTTGCTTAAATTTATGATTGGTTTATCAAGTTGGTAACCAAATAATTAATATTACTTACGGTTCGCAAACTTGGGTTTTTGTCTTTCCTCGACTGTGACAAACTTTTCTCTGCCTGATAATGCCTTTAGTCGGTCGCTTTTTGTAAGCGTAGGATTTTCGCTAAAAACGATGAAATTTATCGAATCAAAATGGTCGATCAATTAGTTTACGAACTAACAATTAAGATTAATATAACGTATCGCGAGGATATACCTTTGAGTCGACCGTTTTCGGGTTTATCACATACGGACGGTCGAAGTTGGCATCGTAAATCGTCTTCACCTCTTCTATCACTGTTTTTGTCGAAATTTCAATTTTTGGTGCTATAATACCCTGTAGGAACGACCAACGGGATAATGTAACGTTTATTTATGAGCGTGAAAAGAGAAGAAACAAGAAAAGGATCACTAACAGGAAAATATTTGCTAGGATCCATGAGTAAGTCGACATCAACTCCAGGTAGTAAACGTTTGCAATGAGTTACCGGATAAAGAACATCCGTTAAACTGGTCTCAAAGGTAGCCAAAAGGATGGGTTGATTGCACGGATTAAGCCATTGTATCAATTCCGCGTAGAGGGATTGTTGCTCCAGATTCCATTGCAACTCTGTCAAAGCAGCCAGCCGTGTAAAAGTTTTTTTAAAGTTAAACTCGTTGTGAAATAATAGTGGAAAAATCGGTGATACTCTGTGCGATTCTAGGGTGGAACCAAGACTGCTTATTCGCAGTGCTACTTTCCCGTTAGGGCATAGCCATACACCGGGACACGTTATCTGAAAGAGGTTATTTCGAATAAGTTTATCGTACTACGATTCGCGCGATCATTGAAAGTTGAACGCGATACTTACAGCGTGTAGCTCTAGCTGTATTTTCACGCAGAAACCCTTTCCCGCCATGATCGCGTCTCGTTTGGTTTCTTTCGGCTAACAGCTATCGAAATATCAATCTTCGTCTAACAATCATTGTCTTCGTTGGCGTGGACGACTAAACGCGTCTGTCCGCGATCATGTACGGGGTCTGCGGAGTCGGTCGACCAGCGACAAGTTTCAACTTGCTAGCGAAAATCGCGCGGTTACCGTCCGGCTGGCGTTTCTTCCGAGAATGTTTGTTCGACAGACGGTGTATAAGCAGGCTTATTCGGCTTATGCCATGTTGAAGAGCGGTCAGTGTTGCTGGAGGTTGCCAAGGAACGAGCTTGCCACAACATCGATATTGAATTTCGTCGACGATCGCGCGAACGATTGCAGTCGCGTGCTTTAAACTTTGAACGGTATCCCGAGAAACTTCTCGGCCGGTAAACCTCTTTGGATATGACGTATTCGAAGTTCATTTGCAATGAAATCCGTTTGTTTCTTGGGGAAACGTAACCTTGGATCGCTCGTTGGAGGTATTAAGGGTTCCGAAAACCAACCGTATCTATGGAAAATAAATCGCGTGCATGCGAATCGTTTATTTCGCGAGAAGCGACATCTATGTGTCGCATATTCAGGCGTATAATGATTGATATATCGCGTACTGCATATTTACAGTCGGCGGCTTAAACTTGTAAATATCCTTTGGTGTGAGTAGCAGTCGTTTGGAGATCAAATCGACGTACTCTTGACGAACCTCGGATGTCGGGATCACGTCGTGTTTCGCGTAAAACTTACCGGTAAGAGGTTTCGTTCGAGCGATAGCTACGAATTTTTCTTGCAGTCGAAAATGCTTTTTTTCTTTTTCATATCGCTCGATGTAAAATCGCAGTTTCACAGGATTCATGTTGCTCTTATTCGGCAGTTTTAAACGTGCTACTAAAATTTTCTAGATTTTTCGGAAATTAGATGAAAACGTGAATCGCGTGAAAAACAAAAATCAAACATCGGTATTTAACAATGGGCGGGCGAACGATGTTCGTTCCAGTAACGTAGTTTATTTTAAAATACGAGTAGAAAACGCATACAGAACAAGCGGAAGACCGTAGCTAATCAGTCAAAGGTTTACAACGAACACGTGTTACGCATCGGAGAGATTTTTGAGAAAAACGATGAAAACGATATCATCTCCTCTGTTCGTACTATAACGGGGGAACATTCGTATCGTAACGAGGTACGAAAGCAGCGAAACATGGAACATTACTCGTAAACGTCTCTTGCTAAGTTGCTGTCGAAAGCGTGCAAGTTTGAACATTTCACGCAACGAAAAGACCCTTTATTCGTACAACGTTCTCCTTTTCGCGGTACCTTTTATTACTCGAAGATTCACAGCGCAAGCTATCTCGTCGGGCTCGGTAATACTCGCAATAGTAAGCTGTCGACATTTTAACTTAATCTATAATTCTATAAATACTGCAGCTAAAACCGCTGAAATAACGTATGCGCTTTTCGAGGTGGAAAAAAAAAACAGAAACAAAGAGAAAACGAATATGCAATAAATTGGATTATTCCTACATTGATATTAACACGCATGAAGCTGTTACGTACGTTGAATTTCTCCGGAAAATACAATTTACGTCGCAAAACTTTCAAGACACACTTTTATATAATATAACCAAGAAGGTGATAACGGTGATCGTGATAATGATAATGACGATGATGGTAATGGTGACCATAACAACAACAACAACAATAACAACAATAATAATAATAGTAATAACGATAATTAAGGTGATGGTAATGATGGTTAATGATGAAAGTAATAGTACTAATAGTCGCATTAATAATAATAATAGAAAACAACTATTACAATAACAGATACTTAAATTTATTAAAAAAGGAAAAAAAAAAATACACTTAAATACTGGATTTCGAGAACGGACGAGACAGGTGCGATAATAAATACCAATTTTAGCGTTCTATATAACATTCAAACGAAACGTATTACAAGTATCTTTTTGGTCTCGAGAGAAGACGCGATCCTTGGATCGCGCGATTGATATTTCGTGTTAATGATGAGATAAGTAAAGTCTTTGGTACAATCAGGCAGCTTTAACCTTACTCGAAACCTTAAGTCGATCAAATAAATGAAAAATTTCACCGCGATTCGGAGATTCGGTGAAAGGACGAAAAGAACGTATAGGAAAGAAAATGAACCTTCGCAGCGGAACGTTTGATTCTCGTAGTCAATTCCGTATACGTATACAAGCGAGAAAAACGCGAGCGTTTCTTCGTTCGCAAACGTTTACGCGAATCCGACGAATCGGTGCGTAGAACGAGAAAAAGTTCCGACTCGGTTGTTATCGCGAGAGAGAAGAATTAGCTGTGATCGTTCGTAGAATCAGTCGTCGTTTCCGTAGACGCCGGAAGCGGGTGCTTCGTTTCGCTCGCGTGTTCACCTTTGCTCCTGAAAGATTAAGACAAATACGGTATTACGAAAGTTGAGAAAAAAGGAAGAAAGGATTTAAGAAAGGGGAAAGAAAAAGGAGAGTTACCTCCTCTGTTCCGATTGCTCGTGGCAGGAAGCAGGAGAAGCTAAAGCACCGCTTTCTCGCGCTAGTTCCAACGTTCCCGCGTTCTCCGTTTTCCATTTCGTAACGTTCGAGTGTAGGTCCAAGTTACCGTTGTAATACCCGTTTTCGCACTTATTCGAGTATTCGTTGGACACCGGGGATTTTCTTGTGGGTAAATAGTCCGCGGTGGTCGGAGCTAGCAGCTCCTCGTAATACTCGACGGTCTTGGGCTCCGCAGTTCCGGTTCCGTACCTTCTCGGCAGGGAAGAGTAGCCAAGGCCGACATAGCTGTGATTCTCGATCCCGCAATCGTTGGACAAACCGGAAAGCGAGGGTCTGTAGTTGGTGGCGAGGTCCGGGTCAGCGGCAAAGTCTGCGCTGTGATATCTCGACCTGGAGGAACACAGATCAAAGGTGGGCGACCTGAGATACCTTCTAAGGGGATCGTAGGAGGAGGAAAGGGCGGACACGTGTTCGGTCGGCGATTTGAGATCGGCGACGTAACCAGAGTCGGAGTAACGGCCACCTCGATCGAGAGATCGGTTACGAGCGACCGTCCCGATGATTCCTTCGTCGCCGTACAATCCGTAACTCTTGTCCGCGACGTGTCTGCTGCTCTTCGACATGGCGATCGCTCCGTATCCGGTCCCGTATCTGCCGCGGTCTCGTTGCTCTCGATGTCCACCACTGAAACTGAACTTGCGCGGCAGGGTGGCGCTAGTGGGTAAGTTGACACCCGGCGGTGGAGCCGTTAGCGATGGTCTTCGTCTATCGTTGAACCGCGAATAGAAACTCCTCCTGCGTATTCGGTCGATCACCGATTCCGAGTTGTCGTCCGGATTCCTAGCGAACAGCGAATGGGACGGGGACGTGGGAGAGTGCAAGTCGGGTCGCGGATGACTCAACTCTGCCGAACTGATCGACCACGAGTCGAAACTCTCGGGTTCGTCCATCGGAGAAAGAAGTTCGTTCGGGTAATCGGTCGGCGACTCTTTCGGACCGGCCGATCGCTCGTTCTCCGCGAGATCGAGCATCGATCTCTTCTCTTCTTCTTCCTCTTTCTCTTCCTCTCGACGTTTCTCTTTCTCTGCATGTGAACAGTTTTCCGCGGCCATCGCAGTCGATTCCGCGTGATTCTCGATGATTCTGGCGCACTCGGTTACCTCTTTCTTCAGTTCGGCTACGTCTTTTGCGCGCAAAGGCTTGTCAATGATTATCTTGTTGCCGGTGATGCTGGCCCGGTGCGTTACCTTTGACAGACACTCCATCAGCTTGTCGGAAAGGTCTTCGCTCGCCGGCAACTTTGGGGAATCAACGGGGTTCTTTGGCGCGTCGGACTTTGGCGAATCCTTCTTGGGTGTCGCGTTCCTGAACGAATGTTGAGGTATCTTGGACAGATCGAGTTTCAGATTGCTTCTGCTCGGTCGTTGCGACTCCTGTCCCTTGGCCGATTGATCGTTCTTGGTTTCCGTGGCGAGCGATTCCTCCGCAGGGTTGTTGCTCACCGAAACTCGATCGCCGCCATTCGCGTTCGAGGAACCTTTCCCAACGGTTCGCCACTCTACCCCGTTTTCCTTCGTTTTCCCGTTAGTTTTCGTTGCAACCGCGAGCGCCTTCGAGTCGGTAATCTTCTCGCCAGTAGCCGTCGCCTTCTTCTTCGTGCGCGTTTTTACCGGCTTTTCCTTCGTTTCGGAGGTTTTATCGACGTTGCTACTGGCACTACCGGTACCGGCACTGGCACCGGTGTCGCTCGATTTCTTCGCGACCTTCTTCACCACTCTCACGATCTTCTTCTTCTTCACACCTTCGGACTCGTTGCTCTCCGAAGTCTCGCAAGTCTTTTTCGTCGTTTTCTTGGTCTTCTTCTCGGTGTCTTCGAGTTTACTCCGTTCCGTTGACGAACCGTCTTCCAAAGAGGATCGATTGTTAGTCGCTTTAACTTTACTCGTCGATCTCTTCTCCACGGGTACCTTCCCGTCTTCGTTCGGTTTCGCTGCGACGGTATTCACTGCTTCCTCCTCCGCGTCTTTGCTCGCCGATTTCTCTCCAGATTTCTCTCCAGATTTCTCTCCACCGAGTTCCTTCTCGCGAGACGATCTTCTCTCTTTGGGGATCGACGCTTTCTCCTGCTTCCCTTTATCCAGCGATCCCTCTTTAGCGGGCAATCTCTTCGAAGATTCGGAAACGGAGGACGAGGTGGAGGAGGAGGCTGCGGCAGGTTTATCCGGCTTGTCCGATTTTTTCGCGTCACCGATCTTTTTCGTCGATTTCGCGTCCGCGATGGTTAATTTGGTCGGTATTTTGCTGCCAGTGGTAGGTACGTTTGCGTCCTCGCCCGTGGTAGGATCTCCCGGTTTCGTCACCTTTGGCGGACTCTTCTTCAATTTGCTCAAGATGGTGCTCTGCGATCGTGTCCCATTCGCGATCTGTTTCGCGTCCGCTGTTTTGAACAGGCCGAAAACGGAAGAGACTCTGCTTCTCGGGCAGTTCTGATTCGGCTTCGTGGATCGCGAAAGATCCTCCACGCTGGTCGCTCTCTTAACGGTGGCACGCTCGGTCGAGGATAAATGATCGACTGGAGGAGCTGACCGCTCTCGTTGCGTCGCGTTATCCATTCCTCTTCCGTTCATCGTCATCGTTGTCGTCGTCGTCGTCGTCGCTGTCTCTGTCGTCGTTGTTGCGGGTGTCGTTTTCCTCTGTTCCGTTTCCTCGTCGTTGGTCCGAAGCCGTTCGAGCTTCTTCTCCAACGAATGCAAAAAGCCATTTCGTGAACCTTCGTTTGGCGAGTCTACTCTCGTTTTTCCCTCGCAAGGCTGCTCCTCCGCCTCCGCCTCCGCCTCCGCCCCCGCCTCCTCCTCCTCCTCCTCCTCCTCCTCCTCGGGTTCCCGCGATCGTCGATTCCTTCTCAGAGAATTGATCTCGTTCTTTAGCTCCTTTTCGCGTTTCTTTTCCCGCTCGACGCTGCTTTCTCGACTGGTCGTTACGGTCGGCGTAGACGTTGTTCCGGTGGTTATCGTTGTTGCTTTGTTTTCGTTCTTTCGCCGAATGAAGCGAGACTTGCGACGTTCGTTTTCCGCGGCTTTTTGCGCCTCTTTCTCTTTCACGTACCGACTCTCTTCTCTGGGCGTGTCGAAGAAATCTGGTCGCAAGAATCGCGATATCCGACGTTGCTTCGACTTTTGCGATTTCTCCTTTTCCTTATCTTTCTCCTTCTCCTTCTCCTTGTCTCTCGAATCGTTCTCGCGGTTTCCACCTGTCTTGAAGAACTTGCTGAGCAACGACTTTTCCGGGCCAAGGGCTCGCACGACGAGACTCGCGACGTCCTGCGAGTCCGCGAACGATTTTCGACGATCGATGCCCGTACTGGATTCTCTGGTCAACGAGCCGGATCGCAGTCTCAGGCTAGGGATGCAGCTACGCCGTTTCGAGACGACCGAGGCGTCGCCAACCTCCGCGATCGAGATCAACGATCGTTTGTCGCACTTGTCCGTGTCCCGATAATTGGCGGTCAAATTCGGGTCGAATTTGGCGCCGATCGGTGATCCCAGGTTCTTCAGTTTCGACTCCTTGATCAAGTTCTCCGCCGCCAGCAAACGGTTCTCAAAGTTCCTCGAGGAATCGGATTTGTACCCGGATTTGTAGTCGGTGATGTTGGAGGAGGACTCGGTCGGCGAAGTCTCGTACGACTTGGCGGACAAGCTGGACGTGGCGTCCAATAGGTTCGTGTTGGAGTCGCAAACCGAGGTGGAAGTGCACTCCGAAATCGAGCCGTTATCCGCGTTGTTCTCGTTTCTATCGCCGGCCATCGCATCGTCCGGCGTTTCCTCTTGGATCTTGTCCGCGCGGTACGACCGGAAACTGTCCTTCCGAAGCTTGCCCGCGCTCGTTCGGCCGCCGGACGTTTCTTTGTACCATCTAGCCAGATTGCCGGACCCGGTCTCCCTGGGGAACGTCGAGAACAGGGAACTGTTCGAGTCTTGCCGTTGCGCCGATCCGCACCGATCTGCGACGTCGTAGTCGCGACCGCGCGACTCGTCCTCCAACAGGCTGACCGATCGACGAGGAGAGCCGTGCGACGCGTCTCTGCCGGTTCCCGGTTCCAGCAAACTGTTGGTTCTTCTCATCACCCGATTGCTCGTTGATCGATCTTTGTACTCGGTCTGATCGGAGGCCGTGGAGACAGATCGGTCGGCGCTGTCGGACGCGTCGAAGGAACTGCCGGCCGGGTCCCTACCGGGCGGCGACTGGCCTCCACCGTCCTCGCCAGAGACCGACGAGGATCTCGTCAAGGATCGTCTGGTCTGATCGAGCAACGTTCTGCTCAATCGCCGGGCCAAGCTAGGCGTGAAGTTTTGCTCTAACGATTCTTGCGTCTCTTTTCTCACTCGTGCCGGATCCGCTTCTGCGTCTTCGCGTGCTACTTTATCTGAAAAATAAACCTCGAGATAACATCTGTGCCGGCGTAACGAAGCGAGTGCGCTATAGACGTGACGTTAGACGGGAAGCGGACAAAATACTCTGATTTCTTCGGTATTTACACTCCTTTATTTCTACATACATGAGATTTCTTGTTCCGTCTGTTATAAAACTTTTCGAAAAATTAATAAATAAATCTAACCGACGAAAGTTTGCTCTAGCGATACTGCACTACGACCGCTACCGAACGACGAACCACTTTGCCCGCGTCCCAGCGTTTTCCAACGATCGGGAAAATGAACGGGAAACGAAAAATTCTTCGGTCGAACGTTGTACGAAAGAGTACCAGAGAAGAAAAAAAAAAACAAAATTTTGCTTCGGCCAACTAAAAAAGAAAAAAAAAAGAAAATAGAAAAACGATACAAAAGCGACACGGCCGTGGAAAATGGCACAGAACGTACTAAAAAGAAAAAAGAAAAGAAAAAAGGAGAAAACGTAAATGGGGTAAAACGAATGGAGGGATGGATCGGTAGCGAACGCACGATCGATCGGGCAAAAGCGTCGATAGTTCGATGTCTGGCACTTGCTGGGACTATACGCTGTAATCGGTACTGGTACAGCGACGCCCATTTCTCAAAAATGTACATCGATGAAAAGATGCGGCACGTACTCGCATACAGACACGCATACGCGCACGCTCACACGTACACAGGCACACGCGGATAGCTCGATAGGTAGACAGATGATAGATAGATAGATAGATAGATGGGTAGATAGATAGGCAAATAGATAGATAGATAGATAGATAGATAGATAGATAGATAGATAGATAGATAGATAGATAGATAAATAGATACATACATACATACATACATACGTACATACATACAAACACACGTACGTGTACATGTGTCATCAAGTATATTAATGCAAGAAATTATAAATACAAAGTATAAATTTGTATACTCGTCGAACGATTACATGCAGCAAAAGAGGTTTGCTATATGCGTACGAAAAACTAGGTTATAGATTTTCCGTAGATCTTAACAAATGAGAGCGGTATTCGCAAAGCGCGACGGTTTATTTTCCGAATCCGTGCAAGTCTATCCGGCGCTGGGCGTGGAACGACGGTGAATTCGGAAACGGTAAAGCACAGCGGTTCCCGCGGATTCGTAAAACGAACCCTCGCACTCGAATAACATCGAAATAAATATGTCACCTTAGGTGTCTAAATCACAACGCGCCTAACGTGTAAACTTAAGTCGAGAGTAATGCAGTGTACGGTATTAAATACGATATAGTAGCATTATCAAAGCATGCTGAGAACAATGTAAAAGTAATAAAACGCTGTTATTTAAACTCTTTAAAACACAACAAATATCAGCCATCTCAAACAAGGGTTAGCTCCTTCGCTTCGTGATAAACGATTTCTCGAGATACCTCCTTTTAGTATAGTGTGAGTCTTTCTGCTGGTATGCAACGGGTTTGTCGTTTTCGAACACGCGACACCGATCATCGTATCCTCGGACGAGCTTTCTTTCCTCCACGTTAACACGATCGGTAAGAATCGATCGTCTGGGTCGACTATATGTACACGCATATATATATATATATATACACATGTATATATATAATATATATATATATATGGTCTCGTTGCTTCGAATCGCTTCACGTTCGTCGCTTTGTCTCCTCGTTCTCAGCGATCTGGATAGACGCTATCGAAGTGGCGATGAAAGTCGCGATCGAGGTGCTGGATCAAAGTCGCGCGAGAATGCAAGCCGATTCGCGGAAGTCTAATTTCTTTATCTGTTAAAGGAAGCACTGGTGTATTTGGCCGCGTCTCGGTAGCGGCTGGTTGCTCTTCTCGATCGTCGAAGAAACAAGCACCGCGATCGCGATGGCATCAGAAGGGAAGGAGTAAAGCGTGGAACGGAAAGAGATCGAATGGTATTACGAGGGTACGCGTCGAGTGTCTGCAATAGCTTGAAGGTATAGCTCGAAATCGCTTGGACCCCTTCGACGGCGGTGCTCGATCATCGTTCGACTTTCGTTTCCGTTTTCTTTCTATCCGTTTGTATCGCGATCGCGAACGGGGTGCAAGAGTTTGACCGAATCTGCGTGGCGATGGTGGTAGTGGTGGTGGTTGGTGGTGGTGGTTGGTGGTGGTGGTGGTTGGTGGTGGTGGTGACGGTGATGGTGGTAGTGGCGATATCGTCCTCGGTTGGCGCGCGAATGAAATCGAGATATCTAGATCGCGTAGTTGACCAACTGTCGCGCGTGACAGACATGTCGAATGTGTCCGACGTGTGTAATCGATCGAACGACACAACAGCGAGGAGAATAGAGCAGCGTTCGAGCAACGAGGTGACGTTCGCCAGATAAGAGTGTAGCGTAGTACCTAACTTGCTTTGCCTACTGGGGATTAGCGTCTGCCCGCCTACGTAGAGTCACTCGCACGGTCGCTGTAACAACCGTCAGAAAAAAACCGTCAATTACACACCTATTTAGAGAAAACGAGTCCACCGTGAATTTGCAGAGTATATTTTCGATAATCGTTCGCATCGATTCGCTTTTTGCTCCAACCACGAAAGAACGATGCCAGTGACTTTGCTCGCGCGCACCTTTAACGCCTAAACTTTCATCGTTCTTATACGGGAGAACGGGAAAGTAATCGACTGGACGTTGAGCTGTTACGACTGATTAAACCCGGACCGAGCTAAATGCTCCACGATCACCAGTGATCTAGACGATAACCGCAAACTCTTTCGCGCGATTTTCTCGGAACCTTAATTACGTTTCGATTCAAACTTCGCGATGCGTGTCTGCTGTCGAAATAATTGGCCACCCGGTATCCCCTGGCATCCTTCTTTCTATCGTAGTACCCTCGTTACCCCATTTTCTTCCCGAAAACAAATTTGCTTTTTTCTTTCCTTTTTCTTCGATTCGAATTCTACTTCGAGGTGTAATAAAAAGGAAGAAAGAAAGAAAGGAAGAAAAGCGTGATATCCAAGCCGACTCGTGTGTAACGTACCGAAAATATAAACTCTCAAATATCGGACAGCGGTGGCAAACGATAACTCCTCTGATCGCTGATTGAAGAGTCGACGATAGACGTGAAGTAAATGCATAAATTCCTTTTCTTTTTTCGTTCTTATTATTAAAGATGGATTCTATCTTGGAGAGTAATAGATCTGAATTTCCTCATGTATTCGTGTGTATGGATCACGTGTGCAATCATGCTGTAAACTTTAGTGTGCACTGAATAAAATTAAAGAAGAAAAAATGAATTGCAGCTACTCGTGTTAATGGGATAATATGTAAATCAACAACATTGCAACTTGCTACTACTGCGTATTACCAGGTTCTATGTTAGGCAAAGTATGAGTCACGTCTGTGAGTAATTTTAATGCTCAAACTTATCTGAGCACGGGTAAAAAAGGTATTGCGATTAACCGCTTGATAACGTTGCACGCTTCGTTACAGAATTACGCGTGCTCCGCCTGCGTTCCATTTAAATTGCTCTCGATATTGTGGACAGAGAGAAAGAGAGAGAGAGAGAGAGAGAGAGAGAGAGAGAGAGAGAAGAGAAAGAGAGAAAATAGAAAAAGAAGCAGGTACTGTTTGCGAAGAACATCGTGCAACATGCGCTTAGAAAGCTACGTTCTGTTCGCGCGTGTAATTTGCGTGACGGAAAAAAGCGAAGGTCGCGGAATATTGTTTGGTGGAAAATTCCAAAAATTTCGTTCGCAACGCACTCTGAAGCACGCGCGAGTCGCGTTCCGAAAATTTGCGATAAAAAGCCGTCGACGAAATTAATTCGCGCTCTCTCGGTTACACGCGTCTCGGATGAATCCGTTCCCGGCTGAAAATCACCGTAGCGTTTACCCACCTGTGCCAAACATGAACCATAGATTTATTCTAAATGAGGTTAGTATCAAATGTTGCAAAAAAATCGTCAGGCAATAACATCGGAAAAAATCGACGGAGAAAAAGAGCGAAAGTGAGAAACAAAGAGAAAAATGAAACGGGGAGGGGGAGAAAAATAACGAAAGGGAAAGAAATATAGAATACGAGAACGAAAAGTAGAGAAAGAGACGGTGGGCGGGAAGAGAGGGAGGGAGAGGGTGGAGAAAAAGAAAAGGTAAATCGGTAAAAAATAAAGAAAATAGATATGCTCTGTCTATCAACGACTCGACAACAGCTAGGTACTAGGAGATGCATACTGAGTACCATTCAGCATTTTTTCCCGCGACTTGCGATTTCAACCAGTGACAAAATAGCAACAATCGTATCGCGGAATCGCGACTTGGTAGAAGGTCGTTTCGATTAGGCTAATAGCCTCTGAGTCGTTTTAATTCGCTCGTTGCCTCGACGATAGATTCGACATTCGCATACGTAATCGATGGTGGATTTTTCACGAAAGAATCGAGAACGTTTCGTCGCTTCTGCGAACACGCGCGTCGACGAGAAGATACCACGCGAAAGGTATACCTTTCTGGTATGCTACCAGAAATCCGTAAAATCGGCAATTCATTTTTCTCCCGATGAAACGCGAAAGTTGCAAAGAATTTTGCCACTGGATCGAATCCCGGGTATGAACGCTTTGCGTTCCGGCGAGATACGCGTGTACGTTCGCGATGGAACTGTACAGGCCCGGTAACGAGTGAGAGAAAAACGGAACGCAAAGGGTTCGACCTCGTTAAGTACGAACAATTTATTTTGCAGTTCGACACGGTTGTCTCGTGATAAAGTTCGTAGAACAATTGCTGGATATTCGCTTACCTCTTGGCAAGGTGTTACTGCCGACATCGAACACCGTTTCCCTGGACGGAGTACCATGCGATCCTGGACTGTTAGGGGTTCCTGCGTTTGACGAGTTCATGGAATCTTTCCTCGAGAATATGTCACCTTCTCGACTCAACGAATGCCTAAATTGAGACTCCGACAACCGCCTAGATTCCCAACAGACAGAAAACATTCGTGTCATTTGCGTGATTTCTTTTTTCTTTGCGTAAATTCTTTCCATTATCTGAAAACATTCCTCCGATCTTATCGACACTAGGATCAGAGCTGGCTGTTCGAGCTTTCCATCGGTATCGCACTCGACTAGATTTAAAACGTTGCTTTTCCCTCGAATAACCAACTCTTCGTCTCGCGACAAATATAAGACGAATCACGAGGGTATCGAAAAACTTATTTTACTGTATTTTCGCATCGATTACGATCTTTCCACACGTATCGGGCGAGGAAATTGCAAAAGGTACACGCTATCTTAAATGTGAAATTGTCATTTTCTCTCTCTCTCTCTCTCTCTCTCTCTCTCTCTCTCTCTCTCGCTCTCTCTCCCGCTCATAGCGTGCACGCGTGTAGGTCCAATGACGAGGAGGAGCGGGTATTACATAAGCCGATACGTTCGATAGATTACTCGTGATATATTTTTTGCACTACCTTCTAAAATAATTGTTCTAAAGTTGTTGTAACAATTGGACTCACGTAGTCACGGTCCTCGTTTTGACATATGTCTGGTAGCTTGCACAAACAAGCGTTAAATCGTTGTCATTAGGTATCGATGTTTAATACAGGAAGGAAATGAAAGCTAGCTGCGAAGGGTATATTGTCGTAAAAGCGAATTGCGGCTGCCTCCGAAAGAAGAAGCAACTTTGCACGCTACGGATAGAAGCGACAAAGGGCAGCAACGCGGTGGGTACATTGTAAATGAATTACCTCGACAGTGGCTTATTGAGGCCCCAAAAAGCTTGAGAGGGATTAGATCCTAATCTTCCGAACAATCGAGAACTCGGAAAGCCGGTGGTGCGGTTGTCGTCGACGTTCAATCTCTGCGTTAAGCTTCGTACTCTGGATAGCAGAGTAGAAAATAGGTTCTCAGCGGTTAACAATTCGAATCCGTCGTCGTCGTCGTCTTCGCCGGAAGACAAGCTATCCGCGTGTTCCGGTGGCTGTCTCGATGGCCGAGAGCTTCTCAACCGATGCATGTGACGTTGCAAAAGATCCTCGCTGTCCCTGAGCGACACAAACGGATTGACTCGTTATCGATCACAGGCGTGTATCGTTTCGTAAGTGGATAAAACGAAGAAAGAGAAAGAAAAACAAAGACAAAGGTTAAGAACGGAAAAGTAATCTCACCTGTGCAACGAAGAAAATGGTGATTCGTCTTCACTAGCATCCGATAAGAGAGAGCTCATTCTTCGAGGTCTGCCGAACTTGGATCGAGGAGCGTTCGTGCTGGTCGGCGTGCTAGTTTTGCTATCGGGCTCGACGCTACCAGATCTGGGAGTAACGTATCCACCGCCTTCCACGGCGATGGGTATTATGTATTCCCGAGGACTCTTTCGAATCGGCTCAGGACCAACGGTAGATCCAAGAGCACTGTCGGTGTCCGAGTCTGCGGTCGACTGACGAGATAACGACCCCGATCGTTGTGAAACCGATCGTTGAGGCATCGGTGGTGGTTTCGACGGCGGTGGCGTCGACGAGTGTTGCGACTGCTGACGATCCGCTTCCATCTATAATTGCAAACGCGTTAAATGAATTAAACGGATAAACTAGGCAATTTTTCGACGAATTTCAGGAGCAATAGCTCTCTACGGTAGATAGTGTACCTGAATCGGTATTATTCTTTCCTTCGGCGCAGCACTACGCGGCCTGATTTCCGGCTCCAAGCTCGAGCTTCGATTATGCTGCGGTATCGCAGCTGCGACCGGAAATGCTATTTCCGATCGCTGTGTTTGAAGTTTCTGTGGGTGGAACGCGTCGATCTTGGCCTCGAGTTCGGATTTGTATGCCAAAGGAGCTTCCGTTCTGGAGGAGCCCGACAATGAAATCTCGGCTTTGCTCGTTTTACGCGATCTAGGTAAAGTCGCGCTCTTTAAAGTAATTTCCATTTTGCTGGACATTTTCGGTTCTTCCGGTTGTTCATCGTCGTCGTTGGCGAACTCCTCGGGCGCGAGGGAAACCTGAAAGAACAATTGAATCGATATGAGGTCGGATGGACCGTGATTAGTTTCACACGGCAAAGTGTCGCCTGGTACGATCTCTCGATTTCTTACCGTTGCTTGTTTGTTCGCGCTCGTTGACTTTTCGTCGAACGAGAACTTTGTTTCGGAAGGCGTAGACACAGATTCCGTCGCTGAACGTGAATCGTTTGTTGTTCCACTCGATGACTTTGACGGGAGTTTCTTTGGTTCCTGACTCAATGGCGAAATCGGCGGAGATCCGTTTATCCTTCGTTGCATAGGTGGTTTTCCAATCGCACCGGTTATTATGTCGACGGCTCGTTTCTTTGCCTCTTCTTTCTTTTTCTCGTCCTCTTCCTCCACCTCCTCTTCGTTTTGTTTCGCTTTATCGTTCGGTTTTTCGTTCCGCTTCGTATCCGTCGTAGGGGGAACGTCGATGATCATCTTGGATGTAGTGGGTTTCGTAGGTGGAGGCGTTGTTATGGAAGAGAGGCTGGCTTTTCTTTCGAACACGCGCTTCGCTCCTCCGACATTCACACCGGGTATAAATATCTTTTTGGGCTTTTCATTTTCCACGTTCGATGCCAGCTGGTTGAACTTCTCCGCGGTTTCGAATATTTTCGAACGCCTTCTGTCGAACGTTTTCGCAGGGACATCTCTTACTTCGTTAGGGAGCTCCGAGTCGAGAGAGATGGACTTCTCTTTCAGTTTCTTAAAGTCTCGTTGCGACGATTCGAGGTTGATCGCATCCTGACTACAGGACGACTCTTTCTCGAGCCTCTCGTTTCCAGAGACTGTCGTCTCGTTCGACGTTTTGGAGCTAGGCACTGCGGATGCGGTCGGAAGGTCGAGGGCAAGCTTCGCCGCGTCCGGTTCTCGAAGAAGATTCGATCTCGAGGATCCATCGCGTTGCCCATCGTCGAATGATTTTACGAGGCTTTCGTTCTGCAGTCTATCGTCGGTATCGCGATTCTGCGATGCGATTTGCCGAGGCCCGTCTAAGAGTGGCTGCTCCGACTGTTCGTGTACTATCGGTGTTTTACTTCGCTCTTTGCTCGGTGATCTTTCGCTGCATTCTTTGATCATTTCTAAACAGGCAGCTGAAAATTCTACCATATTCAAATCGACGGTCTTACTGATAGGAACGGTTACCGTAGGTTCCACCTCCATAGCTTCCTCCGTGATCGAGGTTGGAATCGGCGCCGAGTGATGCCTAGAAAGGGAAAAGGAAGCAAAGAACGTTTAATGGTCGTGAAAGATTACATTAGCGTAACCTAGTAACTCGTTAATTACCTGGGCGCAGATTTGTACATTCTAGGTTCCGGTTCTTCTCGTTTTTCTTTTCTTCTGGATCGCTCTTTTCTCTTTGCTCCAGCCGCAGCTGTTTCATCCATCGAAGGTGTTGTCTCCAATTTTCTCTTTGCGTCTCCACCAATCGGCGCCGTCCTTGGTTCCTCCTCGAGTAATTCTCGTCTTATTCGCCTGTCGGAACTGCTCTGATCCAATTCCATTAAACTTCCCACCGAGTGACATCTGGTAGGTACTAGGGTCTCGGAAGAAACGTTATTCGGAACATCTCCGGCTGGTTGCTGGTCGCCAACGACCAGTTTCTCGGCGCTTGCGGACTGTGGTACCAGAGAGAGAAGCAGATCCAAACGAACTGGCGTTTGGGCGGCTAACTCTTCGGCAATTTCCAGGCAATTTTGATCGTAACCCTCGTTCACCCACCAATGGGTACAAATCCTTTCAATATCTGCTCGTCTGGCTGGGCAAACCGTCAGCATGTCTTTGATTAGAGGAGAAGCGGCTGGAAAGAAGATACAGTCCAACAACGGTCGATACACGCGGTTTTCGTAACGAGGAAATATAATTTAGGAATAAAGATGGAGAACGGAACCTAGGAGCAGATACTTACGCGACGGTCTTTTAGGTTCGAAATAGTCGGACTCCGAGATTTGTTTGACTAGTCGCTTGAAGTTAGAACCGTCAAAGGGCATGGCACCGTAAACCAAAGTATAGAGAAGAACACCTAAGCTCCAGCAGTCGACTTCGGGGCCGTGATACGGAGTGCCTTTTACGATTTCGGGACTAGCGTAAAGCGGACTGCCACAGAACGTGTTCAATAGCCGTTGCTCGTCGAACACGTTCGATAAACCGAAATCCGCGATTTTCGCATTTCCAACTTGATCCAACAAAATGTTCTCGAGCTTCAAGTCCCTGTGACAGATTTTGTGCTTGTGACAGTAAAAGACAGCGGTGGCTATTTGTCGAAATATTCGTCGAGCCTCGTGTTCCGTCAGCACTTTGCGTTCGCTCAAGTAATCGTACAGCTCGCCACCGGCAGCGTACTCCATTACCAGCACCATTTTTTCCCTGTTCTCGAACACTGAAAGAAAGGGAATCGAGATGAAAATTTTAGACGAGACGAGTGACGCGTCGTGACGTTCGTACCTTCGTATATGTGAATAATGTTCGGATGTTGCACGCTCGACATTATCTGAATCTCTCGTCGTATCCTGATCAAATCGGCCTCCGTTTCTATCTTGCATTTCTTAATAGTCTTTATCGCCACCTCTTGACCGGTCTCCTTGTTGATTCCTAATTGAACTTTGCCGTAAGTACCTTGACCGAGCTTCTTGATGATGTCAAACCTGAAGGAAACAAAAGGAACGCGGAATAATAGCCGCGATGGCTCGAATGCGGCTACGATCTTACGAATGGTCCACGGCTGGCGCGCGAACAAACGATCTCGCGTTATTTACGTTCCGCCAAGTATTTAGCGAACGCGCCAATCTCTCGAGTTCCGCGCAACACCTGCACGGTCTCTCTTACCGGTAACACTCGCCTCTCTCGTACCTTTGTTTCAATTTCCGTTTGTGATTGTGAAGTCGCACACCACCCGTGCTCTCCATTCCTCCCATAATGTTGTGTATGCTCGCCTCGCCCACAACCATTTTTCCTTATTATTTATCTGAAAACAAAGCGTACCGGTGTATAGCAGAGCAACAGGCCGATCGATCGAAGGAACAGCGATCTAATCGAAACTCGATGTCATCATCGTCGTCCTCGGTTCCTTTCGTCGCTTCTCTATCTCGGTCTATTTCATTGCGAGTGAGAACTCGCTAGGGCGGAGAAATATGGAGAAACGGAAAAAACTTTTCGAGGTATTCGCGATGGAAGACGAACGCGCGAATGGCATGCGGTGAATCGGCGACGAGGTCGCGACCAACGACTACAGAGAAGAGGAAGCAAGGGAGGAATGGCGGGCGGGCGCGCGCGCGCCTACGGAAGAGAGAGAGAGAGAGAGAGAGAGAGAGAGAGAGAGAGAAAGATAGAGAGAGGAAGATGGAATAAAGAGACGCGTGATCCTTTTTTCGAAGGTAGCCTTATGAACGACCTCCAAGCTAGAGGCTCGAAGCGGAGGCTGAATCCCCGCAGTCTCGCGATCGAGGATAACACCAAAGAGGCAGAGTACGGTTATCGGACTTACGCTAGAACCGAGAAGGAAGGACAGACGGACAAAATGCGGTGAGTTTATTTTCGGTGTCGAGACGCCGGTGTACGTCTCTCCCGCCGATCAACGTCCCTCGCGACGCTCGCCTCCCCGACGATACGCGTACCCATTTCCCGTCTACGCGCTGCCAACCGCGTCGAATCGAACGTCTCGATATCATTCGCCTCGCGTTCTCCGATAATTAGAAGTAGGACCGGTAATGAAAGAAAGCGACGGCAGCGCCGGCCGATGGTAGCGGCGACAGCGACAACGAAAACGACGACATCGACACGGGCCAAGGTCTTCCGAAAGAGGTAGCGTCGCCGGCACGTCAGCGTTCGGCAAATGGACGCGATGACTGGTGCCTGGGTTAGGAGGAGGCTATTAATGCCCTAGAGTATGGATAACGGCCGGTTTCCTCCTCGGTTGACGTCGCGTTGCTTTCCAAACGCTGCGCGTATCCGCGAGAAAAGCGCAAAGACGGAGAAACGAAGAGGAACGAAGGGAAGGGAACGTAATTGGAGGGACGCGGGACGAGAAAGGAAAATCGTCGCGAGCGCCGCACGCGGGAAGAAAGGAAAAAACTTTCATGTCCCGCGCGCACGATCCTGACTCTTGGCCTCCGCTTGCGATACATTCCGCTCTGCTTCGCTCCGCTTTGCCTAACTACCTCGGTGAGTAACCTCGACGCGTACACACCTCTGTGTCTTTCCTTCCTCGAAAAGTGCACGAATATTTTTCGAAGCCTACCTTGACTTCCTCGCGGCGATCTCGTTTGGCCGATTGTCACGCATAGGCAACACCGTCACCGACCAACGCCGATGCGTGCCAAACGAGAACGAGTGCTACTTTTAACGTCTTTCCGACTTTCTTCTTTACAGATGATCGAAACGAACGCGAGAACCTATACGTTTGTATTGGACATATACCTACGATCGAATCGAATTAACGCTTCTCGTCCACGGATGTATCGACAAACGGCAAAAATCTGTAATGCGATTCGATGGTTCGTCGAAAGATTAAATCCCCGTTCCCGCCATCGCCATTACTGTCATTCGAAATCACGAGACCAATGATGGACGACGATAATGGTGGACGAATCAACGAGGATCGAAGCGAAACACGTGCGCGTAGAAAATCGCTTTCTCTGTCAGTCTCGTTCCCGATACTCGATCGTGGTGCGTTTCGATATTTTTAGCGGGCACGTAGACCCGCCGCGTGGGCAGACCAGCTTCAGGGCTGATGTCCTAATGACTTCTATTTCCTCTCTTTCTCTCTCTTTTTCGACTTCCGTGGCCAAAATCGACGCGATTGATCGCGACTTTCGTTTTAACCGAAAACGACGAGACACGCCGAGAGAATTCGAATCCGCGACTTTCGAAGATTGATCGACTTCATGTTCGATAATTTGACGTATCGCCGTGTCGGTCGAATGGCATGGCTCGTTCACCGCAAACGATCCGTCGCTGAGCAATTTGGATGCAATGCTCGTAGGAACGATGTAGCCAGGTCACGATAATTTTTACCTCTTATTTATAGACCGAGTCTAAAATATCTTCTGTCAACGCGCGAAGTCTGAAAGAACGCGAGATAAATTTGACCGAGCAATTAGAAATAAACGTACATACGATCGTAACGCATCGAACGTGTCGCACCTTCTAGCCTACCAACTTCTTCTTTTTTCCCAATTTTTCTCTTTACCGCGAGATCTCTTTTCCTCGTGCCTCGGTCGGCTCGGGCGGCACAGGCCGTTGTCGCGCGTATGCGTGTGAAATATGCGCAAACCACCGCAAACTAGAGGGTCGACGCGCAAAGGCGCCGTTTGGCAACGACCGCACGAAAAATTTGCCAACTTCGATTCTCTTTCGCGACCTCGAAATATCGACGACTGACCGACGAAGCACGCTCCTCTTTCTAGTTCCTTGTTACGTTCCTCGTTTCCGAACTTCTCTCTTCCGAATCCGTTCCGGCATTCCAAAGTTTTCTTATTCAACGTCACACCACACGCTTGATCGCGTATCTGTTATTGGCTTTTTTTCGAGTTTCGACAAACTCGTATTTTAATTTTTTCATACGAAATTTATATTTTTGGAAAATCGCATAACCTTAAAGCACGAGCGAAATACGTTGTCTGTTTTCGGTTCGGAAGAGACGGTAGAGAAAGCAACGCGAAAGTGCCTCGAATTATCCAGTACGTAGAGTGTTTATCGGGCTAAAGGATGTCGCTCGAAGGTGACGTCATCTGGTGGCTTGTATGGTATCTCATGATTCATGTATTATTATTAAAACCCTTATTATTCCACTGCACGACTCGCATTGCATACATGAATGAATCTCTGTACGTTCGTCGTGGGTGATTGTACGCGTGGATTGCAATTTCTTGTGACAAAAGTTTGAGTCACGAAGAATTAATAGACTACTCTCAGTGAATTTCATTCGCGACCATCTGGATCTATGCTATTTCGGCCCTCGCGAATGTTTCGCGGTATTACGTTAAACCCGTGTGGAAAAAAAAGGGGGACTGTGTATGGAGAAAAACAAAGCGATGTTGTTTCGATTTTCAACGCGACAAGATCGAGGGAATATACGTACGTAGGTATCGTTCGAATAGAAATGAAAATTGTTTGGAAGAGTCGGTAAGAATAATGCAAGAAACGGTTATTTTGTTCACTGAAATTCTAAGGTCAGGATCGAAATCGAACACCGCGAATCCACCACGGTGAAACTCGATGTAAATATTGACGATAAAATCGAGACAACGGCACACGGAGAATGTAATGGAGAAACGGCCGATGGTAGAATCGATAAAGTCGTTTCCCGATGCGAGTAAGACGTATCGATCGCTTCGACAATCGTTCTATCAATTGGGTTAAATAAAATGTATGTCACTGTGTACGTGCATGTATTTGTGCATCGTATGCAACTAAAGCGCGTAGCACGGTATGTAGGTTCCTATCGATAAAAATAGCATTCTGATATTTCGAAGAGTTCTTTAGGAACATCCGCTAATTGTTTCGATCGATATTGTTCGCGATATCGAAGGAAAGTTCGTACTCGTTACTCATTACGATAATACGATAGATTCGAGAACCATTACAAAAACGAGGGTGATGATGACGACGACGTCGACGTCGTCGATGATGACAACGGGCTTTCCTTGTTCGTTCTTGAGTAATTGAAAACGCCCACGATAGAAAATCGACGCTTCTTCGTAACATTATTTTATTCGGGATAGACGTTTGTTCTTGGGACTCGTATTCGTCGATGGCGAACGAACTAACGCTCTGAATGAGAATCGACACTCGGGTAGAGTCTAAAAATAGCGAGAATTTGTACCTTACAGTGAACTCTGGAGCCAAATTATCCTCTTTTGCGGCTGCTTTCCGCTCCCGGGGAACTATAGGAAAGATACACTATTTACACTTTTATTATCGTCTTTACGGCGAATCCGATTACTAAGTCTCTACGACTTTCGAATTTTTCTGAGAGATCGTGCACGTTCTTCGTTTCCATTTCATTTTACCAGACATTTTTCGCGTGACGATACCGCACAGTGCTCACGCGCTGCCACCATCTTTATTTACTAATTTTGGACTTGAACGCTGAGAACAGGGAATGTATAGATTATACTGATACTAGCGCCATCTTTCGACGTCATTTTCTACACCGCAAGCGTATGCGTTTTAAAAATGGTTTACATATAATTTCGCTATTTTCCTTACCACTCTATTTTTCCATAGATTGCTACGTAAAAAAAGATATATTATACACGAAGTAGTACCGTATTATAATCTGTGTTATTGGTATAACGAGAATATCGTTGAACCAATATAACGTAATTCTTTGTTATTCCCGCTACTATTCGCAGTTATTAAGCTATTCGAGTTTTAATCTTTTTTATATTTAAATAACAGCGAAATATGAAAAATCTCGTCGACGAAGAAATCATTCAAATTAGCACGTGTTACGCTTGACAAGATCGATTAACATGCCCTTCGAAGAAAACTGATGTCTATACTTTATTCGTGGTTAGTCTGGTCTACGTATCCTCGTGTTCGTACTATAGCGCTATAGCGTGAAAATTGTAGTGTTACGTTCTCAAAGGAATGTAGTGGATCGTAATTTTTTACGTTTTCTTCACTCTGTCAAGTAATTACAACGCGAAAGAGTAGGTGTTACGAATTGTAATTAACAGTATGGATTGTACGGAAGATTGGAATGGCAATTGTCAAGAATTAGAAAATGAAATTCAAGAAAATGAAAATGAAAATGAGGAAGTTAACCAAATTTTACCTGGGTATGCGAGCTTTCATGATTACGTTCAGGTATGACCAAACTTATCGAACTGTTGAGTCGAAAATTTTTCTTACCTTTACCTACACTACATCAAGGGAAAGTATAATAAATTATTATTACATTCTAGGAAGCATACGATACCATAAGACTTGGGATTAAAGTTGCCAATAATTTACCTATTGGTTCAAATTTCAATTACTACTCGTGTTTTCCCGACTTTTGCATAGCTAAGGATGAAAATAAAAAATTGTTACTAAATATTATGCAGCACATTGTGAGTGCTGCAGATATAAAGACCAGTATTTCGAATAGAGATGTCGAAGAAAGATTTGAACTTTTATTAGAAACTAATGACGTACTTTTGGATCGAGCTGTAAGTTTTTATAGGAATGAAATCTTTTTTATATTTTCGTATTTACATTCCATGGTTTACGAATATAGAGTTTTGCATATCACAGAATGCTTTAATGGACGAAGATTGTGGCATTAGCAAGGTTTCTGGAGTAGAATTGGTGATATCACGTGCAGACAGACAATCGATCAATTGCGGATGGAACAAACGAATTTGTCAGCCACCGCAAGATACAAAGACTGACCAATCTATATGTTTATTAGCTGGCAAAAACATTCAAAGACCACAGTTGCTGTTCAAAGATAAAATTGATAATAGTTACAAACCTTGGTGTCCTAGGATTAATGACAAACCGAATTCTTTAAAACCATTGGCTATATATCTGGAAGAGGGTGAAAATGGTGAAGTATTCTGCCATCCTTATGAATATGAGCTGGATATGTTTGTCCCTCCTAATGATCAGTTGAAAAAATCCGAACCTGTGAAATATAAATCGATGGAAGAAACACCATTGGTAATGATCAAAGAGTCATCGGATATTAAATTATTGTTGGAAGATTTGAAACAACACAAAGAAATTGCTGTAGATTTGGAACATCATTCGTATAGAAGTTTCCAAGGAATAACTTGTTTAATGCAAATTTCAACGGGAGATACAGATTATTTGGTAGATACTCTGTCATTGCGATCTGAGTTGCACGAGTTAAATGAGATTTTTACTAAGCCTACCATATTAAAAGTGTTTCATGGAGCAGATTTAGACATCCAATGGCTTCAGAAAGATTTATCTCTCTATGTTGTTAATATGTTTGATACGCATCAAGCGGCGAAACAACTTAATCTGCCATACTTAAGTTTAGCATATTTATTAAAATGTTACTGTCATGTAGATCCTAATAAATATTTTCAAATGGCCGATTGGCGCATAAGACCTTTACCGGAGAAACTTGTGAAATATGCTAGAGAAGACACGCATTACTTATTGTATATAAAGGATATATTGAAAAATGCTTTAATAGATGCTTCTAATGGACAGATTAACATTTTGAAAGCTGTATATGACAGAAGCACGGAGATTTGTAAGAAAACTTATGTAAAACCAGCATGGACAGAGGAGAGTTACATGAATATGTACAGAAAGAGTCACAAACTATTTAATAATAAACAACTTTATGCTTTAAGAGAATTACATAAATGGAGGGATGATATTGCTAGACACGAAGATGATAGTATTGGTTACGTTTTGCCAAATCATATGCTGTTAAATATAGCTGAAACATTACCTCGTGAAATGCAAGGAATTCTAGCATGCTGTGACTCTATTCCTCCTTTGGTTAGACAGAATTTATTAAAACTGCACAAAATAATATTGAAAGCTAGAGAACAGCCAGTTACTAAACCAGTTTTAGAAGACATTAGGCAAAGATTGACACAAAGGAACATTACCAGCACAGAAGTGTGGATGTATTCTCCTCATGATATTCCCAGTGATATGGAAATAAGAGCTGATCTACCATGTTTATTAGACGAAGTTAGCATATTAGAAACATCAGATTTAAATATTGCTGCAAAGCATACGGTGACTGTCTTCGATAGTCCAACTACTTCTGAGGTGATGCATGAGTAATAAAGATAATTATTTTACATTAAAGTTTAAGAAACGGAAAAGAGAAGAAAAAGTTACATTTGATACAATTTTAATAATTATACTTATAATTTTAGTACTTATTTGTTTGCTTACAGGTTGAGGAAGTAGAGAAGATTGAGCAAGAAAGCTCTAAGAAAAAACGATTTGTTTTTGTAAGTCCATTTGAACGGTATAAACGAGTTATACCTATGCTAGCAGAAGAAGAAGCACGGAAAATAGAGAAAGAGAGACAAGAAGAAGAAGATCGTTTGAATAAATTGAAGAAAGAAGAAGAGGCGATTACAGAGAGCAAACAGAGAGTTTATGAACATTTTAAGGAAGTTTCTAAAACACAGTCAGATGAAAACACATCGGAATTGTCGAGAAAACCACCTCAGATTACATTGAGCCAGCTGCCGGATCGTAAAAAGAAACGAGATTCAAATATCAATAAACATTATGAAATAAAAGAGGACAAAGCTGAATGTAATTTGTCTACTCCGATACCGACATTAGAAACTAGGATTCCTCAAGGGATGAAACAAAGATTAAATGAAACTGAACGTTTAAGAGAAGAACAAAGTATACAAGAAACTACGTCAAAAAATCAAGGAGAAGCTTCGAATAACAAATCCGTTAATTCATTACGGTAGGTGTATTGAGACACACTGGATTCATTGTTTTCTCAGTTATCAATTTTATCCATTTTAATAAGAGTAGTTATTAGTTTTAAATAGAAACGAATTATTAACATATTGAATTTACTCGTAGACCAAGAAAAAAGGGGGAGAAACAAAGTGTAATGAAAGATTTAGAAAAGAAAGGGATGATACCATCGAAAACGTTCGATTATAAAACGGTAGATTTTAGTACTTTCCAAGGAGGCAGTAAAGATACGTCTAACCAAGTAAAATTTGAACAAACAATGGTAAGAATATATATCATTTATTTTGTGGACTTATATTACAAGTACCAGTGTTTAATTTTGTAACTTTTGCAGAAGAGGAAAAAAGAAAGAACTCGAAAAAGGAAGAAGCAAAAACTGAATATTTAAATTTAGTTTGCAATCTCTTAACGATTTTACAACAGAATATATTATCTTATATCGTATGGACGAATGTAAAAAAAATTAAGGTTACGCGATAACATGGCTTTCTTTGTATTGTATCCAAATGACATGTAACAAATACATGTAGATACACTTCTGAATAATATTTTGGAATGACATAAACTAGATACTTCAATGGGAGTATATTTAATATTTTTATCCTATGCAATTATTATAAAAATCATTATTTTGTTATGTATTTATATTAATATTTCTTTTCCATAAATATTTCGATTTATGAGGATATTATAAATTTTAAAAAGTTTTAAACTAATTTGATAATAGTGATACGTATAAAAAAAGATATATACATAATATATATATATACACACACACCTTTTTTATTAATAAAAAAGAAAGCCACATAAAATAATGATGTAACATTTCGTTTTGTAAATTAGTAGCGTGTGTACAATTGTTATAAATAATTTATAGATTTTCAAAAACACAAATATAATAAATAAAAATATATCGAATTCATTTTTTAATATTTATTAGTAAAAGTTCTTTTCTATGATTTGAATAACATATGAAAGGGAAAAGTAATAAATCTTTAAATCGGTTTGAGATATTGTTCGACTTGAAATTGGTAATGTAAACTGTATTATCGCTAGGTCATGACTTCAACTTTTTCCGTTATATGTATTTATCGTGCCATTATACGTTATATACGTTTATTATTACAATAAGAAAATCAGTAAGGAAAATGATGTGGTTTATAATAGTTCTCGTCATGTTAATTTCTGTCGTACATAATCAAGATTTGGAAGAAAGTACAGACATAAATAAAAGTTTGCAGCATGTTGATAACAATTCGTTGGTTTTTGATAACAACAGTTTGTCCGATTTTTTGTTTACGCTCTCGAATTCCTCAACTTTTATCGATTCTCGAATAGATTCTGACTCAAATCAAGTGGATTGTTTTGGTTTAGGAAAAGGATTAGCTACACTTTTAGGATGGTTTTTTGTTAGAAACGGAACAAATGCGGATGTGGATGTTAAATTTTTCCTTTCTTCAAGAAAACAACCACAACGCGTTCGGGTATCATTTGGTAAACAATTTGGTTTGGAGTGGACAGATTTTCAAATCGAACGGAGGACAATCGTGATAGTTCATGGATTCTTATCCCATGGCCAACAATCATGGATTACTGAGATGGAGAAATCGTTCCTGCAATGGGTAGATTGCAATTTTTGTTCTTTTTCTGTTATAAAGTATTATTTATTCTGCATGTATGAAAATTTTTTAAGAATAAACAGAGTTAAATTTATTCAACGAATCGTAGGTATTGACATTATTATTATTATCATTATCAACTTCATAATCTTTGGCATTAAATTGTTTATCTTTTACAAATATGTAAATAACTTTTTTTGTTTTCCTTTTTATGTCTTTTAGAGGGACGTTAATGTCATAGTTGTAGATTGGAGTGCTGGAGGTAATACTTGGAATTATTACAGAGCGGTGGTTAATACAAGACAAATAGGGTATAAAATTTCAAGGTATGCTTTTTACCGCTATTTGTAAAGATGTAGTTGCTGAATACGTTTGGTGAATAAACTTATATAGTTGTACTGTTTCATGAAGATTTTTAGAACGCATAGAAAATGCAACAATTGCTCAAAATGGTTCCGGCAACGATAATTGGGGTCCATTACATCTAATAGGGCATAGCCTTGGTGCACATATTTGCGGTTTCGCTGCGAAAGAGCTAAAAAAGAGACAGAGTAAATGGAAAGTCCAGAGGATAACAGGTTTGGATCCTGCACAACCTTGTTTCAAAAATGCAGACTCTACGATGAAGCTTCACAAATCCGATGCATCGTTCGTCGATGTTATTCACACCAACGGTAGACTGCTTTCTGAAATTGGATTAGGTTTACCAGAACCAATAGGTTTGATATTTTTATACGTTATGGATATTGCATTGTATTTTATGTTATTGTAGAAATTATGTGCTTTTATTAGGACATGTTGATTTCTATCCTAACGGTGGTAGAAGTCAACCGGGTTGCCTACGGGTTGATTCTTCGTATTTCGAATACTTACCAATTCCTATTCGAGGTAGATTTTCGCTGAACACGTTTAAGAGTATTCCTTATCATCGATGGATTTTCATTGAAATAAAATATTGATCGGTTTTTAGCAATTAACAAATCTATATGCAGTCATGGACGTTCGTATATTTACTTGACGGAATCTTTGATATCCGAGGTTAGACGCAATTGTACATTTTGGGCGCATCATTGGAATTTATCGTATCGAAGCTTGATGCAAACATCAGCGGAATCTTGCAACTGGGACAATTGTACTGAAATGGGTATAAATGCGATTAATTATTCTCAGCGGGGAACGTTTTTTGTCGCTACATCCGGCGCTGCACCATTTTGCAGTAAGTTGTATCAAATTACTAAATAGTATAAATTAAGATTAAGAATCGTATAAAACACATATCATATTGTATTCATTGTGATATTGAGATGTCTTTGATAAATTTGTATGCGGTGAAAAACTTGCCACTTACAGCGATCTATTTGTTAATCTTTATAGTTAACGACACTCGCATAATCGATGAAGTAATAATTCAGTTGGAGAGAGATTACGCAAACGAACTTTACGATTGAGATGTATAAGTGAGTAAATTAGTAAATATATTATTTGATTGATAAATAAAAGAATTTTAATTGGAATTTCAGTTACATACAACATTTAAGCTATTAAATGCAGCTAAGTATTATTTACAATAAAATTTCGAAAATTAAACAAGTTATATACATGTCACGCTAGTTAATTTGATTATTTAGCGTGGATGCTGCGTAAATAAGCAGTCTTCGATTATCTAAAGAAGAAACAACGCCTACTTTCTTCTTCCGTTAATTATTTTACATACGTTTACGTTCTACACAACACTGACTTCGATTCATATTCACACGCACATACATATTTATATATATTAATAATACAAATGAATCATAAATTATAATGCGCAAGTTATACAAACAGAAAGATATACTTCGTTGTACAAATTTATTTTTTCAAATTATTACATATGATATTGTGACGAAAATATTAACTTTGTTCCAAGTTAAATTCGTGCATTCCGCACAATTTTTATATATTCTATCATTGGCACTTTATTAACGTGAACAAATATTTAGTAACTTGCTTTTTAAGAAGAATGTACCAAACACGTGTACACATTTAACAAATATTCCCGTAGACTATAACAGCTTTTTTGGTGCGTCGTACTATTTCGTATTGTGCAGTATTCGTTACTACAGTCAATACGATTCAGTATCGAAATACAACAAAGAAATGTCGATCTGTACAGTCAAATTTATCATTTAAAAATGTTACGTTTGAATTTCAAGCGTACTTTGGTAGTTTGCGGATCTGTATAATCGATATCTTTCATTGTCATTCACTCTTTGCATTTTCAATTACGTTTCTATAGTTTTCACGTATCTCTACACATATATCATATCCGCTCCTATCCCCATTCTGATCACATCGCACTGGCATTTGCTCTTCTTTTTCCTCGGTTTAGTATCAGAGGAAAAAAAAAAAAAATACTTGAGGTTTTAATTTTCGATAAAGCGAGAAATCAATGAATAACTTGAACGTAAGTGGCTGGAAATATTCCAGTTCGACCTCTACACTCGCCTATCCACCAACCATCCGATTGCTTCTGATGCACCGTTATCAAGTCTCCAGGACTTAGGCTGAGCTCGTCGTTTAAATTTGCCGAATACTGATAAATCGCTCTACATTGTTCCGTTCCGTCGGATTTACCACTCGTTTCAGCGACATCGACGTCTTGATTATTATTATCTTCGGATTGGCTGCTGAATTCATCGAAATCACTAAAGTCATCTTCGTCTGGTGGATTCTCCGAGTTTCCATCGCCAGCTGTGCGATCGGCCCAATGACGACTCTCGGTATCGTGATCCTTTACGATACCGAGATGAACATCTATTTCGTCTTCATCGTCCTGAATTTCAAAAGACTCATTCTTTGCCCAAGAAGGAATCTGTGGAAAGGTATGCACGCAGTGTCTTTTATTCTCATCGTTTCACTCGACTCGTTCGCTAATAGTAATTTCTAGTAACACGCGAATCGAAAAAATTTGTTCGCGGCTAGCGCTTACCTTGAGGACACTTTGTTGCAAACCCTGTTTATCCCTAGAAACTAAGATATGCTCTGCCAAAGGATGTTTGCCACGTTTACTACCTTCTACTTCCGCTAACGTCCCTCCAACTTTGTACCTCGCTGCCTCTAAATACAGTAACATTGAACGCATCTAGAAGAATAGAATAAGTTAGCAGATTTTTAACTCGGTGTATCGTTTAAGAAGAAACGAGAAAAGGAGGAAAAAGGAGGAAAAAGGAGGAAAAAGGAGGAAAAAGGAGGAAAAAGGAGGAAAAAGGAGGAAAAAGGAAGAAAAAGAAAGAAAAGATATAAAAGTAGTCGTACATGGTGTAGCTTTTCCGTGACGTTTTGCGTGCTCTCATCTGCCGCGAATGCCGGTGTTGCGATAAAAGCTCTATGAAGAGTTTCCAAACCTTCTCTGCCACGCCTTTCTCGCTCCAAGTCCTGCCTAATCAGATGAAGGACTCTTACCAACGATTGTTTCCGACGTTCTCTGTTCATCGCTAGAGTAACGTGTTCGGCATAGAAATCCGGCAGCAATTGCTCGGAATTGCAACCATCGTTGCTTTCTACTCGGCGTATAAGATTCTTCAAGATCTCGATATCTTGAGACACGTTACAGTTGCGTATAGGAGCTGCCAAACGGTCTGCACTCTGCAAGAAAGATGATCGATGTTAATCGAACCTCGTAACAAAATACAAGTCTCGTATGAAAAAGAAGCGTACTTGTAGCAGACGGGGAGCCAAAGCTTGCAGATGGGCTAAATAAACGTTGGCGATATCTTTAAGAGCGCTCAGTCGTTCCTCTTCGAGAAGTTCCATTTGTTTAGCTCCTTTCCTCATGGTGCTTTCATACTCGAGCCTAGCTCTTTCAGCTCTCACGCTCACCGTGTAAAACTCCGTGTCCGCCCTACGGGAAGAATCTTCGGCCTTTCTCCTCCTCGTCTCGAGCTTGGTAGCCTCCTTCTCCGTCATATGATGGGTCGATGATTTGTTATTGCTCTGCTGACTCTGACTGATCGATTGCAACCTCGCTATGTCTTGTAACCTCTCGTTTTCTCGCGCACAAGCGAAACTTTGCTTCTTGCTTTTTATCGCGACGTTACGCCATTCGTGAAGAGACTTTCCAGCTTTGTCCACGGAATTCTCGATAGATTTTCTCGAGCGTCCTTGAGCCTCTGCTACTCCTACCTACGAATACGTAAACGTCTATTTAACGTATCTTTAACGCCTGTTGAACACCTCTTTAACGCCTCTTCGCATCCTCGAGCGATCATTCTCGACGATGAATGCTCGGCGATCGCGCTTGCATTTGCATGGATACGAAGAAAGAAAGGAAGAGACGTTATACTTGTCACGTTTCGAACATCGACGCCAGATAACGTATTATATCTCTCTATTACGGATAACTGCGTACTCGTAGTTTTTCTCGACAGAGTCGATAGGGAGAAAAATCACTTATGAACTGGTGTTAACGATAATAGCACCGGTGATAACGATCGTTGATAATAAGCGATTAGAGTGGATGGAATCGATGATTCACCTTGAAAGCTCGGCGCACGCGATCGGAAGCAGGCTTCCATGAAACGGAACTTACTCTAAGCGGTTTGGCGAGTTGTTCGCTGAGCGTTATTCCCCAGATCCTGTGAGCTTCTGCGGCAGCCTCCATCTCCTCGCCGACGCATCTCCATGCCTCGTTCACGCCTCCGCTACCGTTACCACCTGCGTTTGCAAAAGTCACCGGTAACATTTAGAACTGGTCTTTCGTCTCGCAGTCGTCAAATAACCGCCACATAACCAGCAAATAATAATCAAAAATTGAATTATCTTTTAACGAATGGATCGTTACCTTGATCCTTTGCGCAAGCTTTAGTCAGTTTGTTGCTCAATTTGCTCAGTCCTTTGGCATAAGTCGCTTCTAATTCCGCTCTGAAACGAGGAAAGACAAACGAACGTTCGCATGTTTTTACAAGCTGTCCCGGTTACGTATCGCTAGCTACGTAAAAAGCAAATTACGAATGCGGAGATAAACGCGCGTTGCATGCATAGAAAGAAAAGAGAAGAGAGGAGAGAAAAAAAAAAAGAAAAAAGGAGAGAGAAAAAAAGAGTGGTAAAATATTTAGTCGCGTAACTATATTATACAGTGCGATGGTAGCAACGAGCGAGCAAGACGATAAGCAAAGGAATTCACCTTTCGTGCAGGATCGACGCCAGTTCCTTACAGAAGTCGCCGCCCTGTTTCACGTACCTTCGAACATCCTCGAATCCACCTTGTCCTCCCTGCAAGCAGAAAGCAACGTTAATTCTCTGCTTTTTCTCCTTTCGAGGCCAAACACTTGCAGCCAGTTCATTCTACGCTCGAATGATCGTGGTACTTATAGGGGACGCAGAAAATAGCGGTAACCTCGCGTCGTAGCTCGCGAGATGCAACATTTCCAACGTCCGTAGCGAGCGAGTTATGACGATTTCTTTTGGCCATGTGTTTGACCGGTGACGTTGGGTTTCTGGATTAGCGGAAACAGCCACGATTACCGTAAACGTGCTTCCGTTTCACGCGCGTATCGGTATTCCCGTTGAAACGAACAAACGAGACCATTCGATACGGATATTACGGATAGCGTAATAAATGTACGTAGGTTCTACCGATCTCTGACGTTCTCCTCCTTCCACGGCCACGCGAGGGAATAAAAGCTAGCGAAGAGATAGCGGTGCGTTTAATTACACCTTAACGATGCAGAGAAGTTACTACGAAAGATCAATGAAATCAATTTCCCACGCTCGCGTAGATCTTACGCGTGTAAACGATTCTTTTAGCGGCACACTTTCTCGACTGCGATTTATTTCTTTCGCTGGATTTGAAAGTCACAGCGGATTCGAAACAACAGCTGAATTACCAGCAACCTGACTTTGGAGTACTCGTAAACTTCGAAACGTTTATCGGCGGTAAAATAGCGATAATATCGAATATCGTAAAACATTATCGTTAAAAGTAAACTCCCGAACACGGTTTCTGTTCCATTTCGATTGCACTGAAATCGCGCAACGTCTAACCGCGGCACCGACATATCACGGCGATGTTTGGTCATAACGAAACGGATAATGGAAGAAAGAAAATAAGCGTAACCTTCGACATACGTAATGGGCGGTAGGTACGCGTATGAGATTAACGGTGGTCGTAAAGCGTGAGCGTTATAAAGAAGAGATCGCACGGGAGAAGCGGAGAAACAACAAAGTTAATTAAAAGTAGAAAGTAGCTGTCTTTGTTCGTTTATTACTCGCTAATCGAGTACTCGTGCCCGATCCTCCGAGTATTCTCCGTTCGAGTATGCGGCGCGTTTTTCATCGAGATAATCCGCGAAATTTGCAGCCCTACGCGAGAACACCGACAAGTATAGATAGTCGGAAATTTATCGATCAAAGGGAAAATTTCACGGTGAACGGAAACCGGTCACGGGTAGGCGCGAAATTTTTCGCTTTTATTTCTGGTTGGATTACAACGGGAACCACTGGTACCTCGGCTGGATTTTCCTGTACGTTACGAGTCCGTCTTATACCTGAAATATTTTTTCTTCGTTAACGACCGCGTCGAAGAAAGGCTATCGGAAATGTCATTTACCGGTATTTTCTGACGTTACGCCCGGCTCAACTTTTCAACTAAGTTTCTGGCCGAACGACTTTCCAAGTCAGCACCGTGCTGTTGGAAAAATTCATTTTTCCTTAAAGCGAGTAAACGGCTCTCGTTTACTCCGAATGCTTATTCCGAGTTATTTACATCACTGAATAAGATAACCAACGCCAAGGATTCGTAATTCGTTCGGCGGATAAAGCGATAAACGATATTTATCGTTGAATCACCGAGCAATTTTCGTGGGAAACAATGACCTTTGTAAAATTGTAATATCACGATTGTAATATCGATCGCGATATCGCGTCGAACGATTGATACGATCGATCGTGTTCCGAGATAAAATATTTACCCTTTCGCGTGCTTACAAATGCCTGGTGCACCGGTCGCGTGTTGGCCGCGAAAGAAAGATCAATTAAACATCGCGCGATGAGAGATCGACTTTCCTACGATCCATCTTCCGAGACAAGGGAAGAAAGTAAAATCGTCGGGCAGGAAGTTTCGAAAAACTTGGCGCGAGCCGTTTGAAAAGAAACTCGTGGAAGCGAAGCGAGACTAGATAAGGCGGAGAATAAAATGAAATCAAAGCCAGGTGAATATCGGTGTCGAAACGTTTCCAAGTAAAAGGTTAATTAATACGTCGGATTGAATATTACGGCGATAGAACAGCATACGCGTACGCAGGTATACCACAGTGGCGGAAGAAATAGGCTAGCGCGTGTAACAGGTGGTTCGTGTTCGTCTGCAAGTCTTTCCGGCGACACCCAAGGCAGCGAGGCTTGTTAATCGTAAGAAGATAGTCTCGATCGATCCGTTTTGCAAACGCGAGTACAACGACGACTCGCAGAGAAATAGGAATAGCGTTTGGAACGTTGAGAACCGGTGGCACGATTCACCTGACCCAGACCTTGAGGAATCAAAGACTGGCTCGAAATGCGGCTGAAACTCGTAAAACGTGGAATGGGATTCTAAGGATTCGTTGACGCGCTCGAATATTCGAATAATCGAGTAAGAGATCTTTAAGGAAATCTCGTGAGGAGAGGCGAGATCGGTAGGCGATAGGCTAACGCGTTCGATTGCTCGCGCGATGACTGGTGGGACTAGGAACGCGAACCGCGAAAAAGCCTAATTTTCAGCCAGCTTTCGAGGAGGAAAGATCTCTGGTCGTTTTCTGAAGAAAGCGACGGTAGATCTGCACGAAGGAAAACAGAGGTGAAAGATCGAGAGATCGCGATCGACGCGTACGGTTCCTTTCCCTTTTACCTTCGCGATTTCCTCGGCTTAGGTTCACGTGACACGGTGAAATCGCGGAGGTCGCGGGTACTATCGCCGTAGCTAGCTATTAACGCGCGTACCTCTTCTCTCCTGGCAGTCTACGGTCTCCCGTTGCTGTCTCTGCTTTCTTTCGTACGCTCAATTTTCCACGCGTACCTGCAATTTCTATTCGATTATCTCGTATCTTAACCGCGTGAGCGATTCCCCGATACACGTCGGAGAAAACAAACGGCAATGACAGAGTCTGAATTCACTGCTCCTCTATCGGATTAGCGATGGGAACGACGTCGTTATGAGCTACTCACGGATACTTTCGCGGCAAGTATTCGTATTCGGAATATTCTTGCTTCGAATGCTACAAAGTGTACGTGGTATACGGTATAGGTAGGTCCTTCGGTATCGAAACATCGAAGCGCAAAGTAAACGGGTATAGACCGGCGTTACTAATCCGATCGAACGGATCGATCGAGCGTCGGAACGGTTTTCGAAACGACACGAAGAAAAAGCTCGTGTGCCCAGGGACGTACTACTATCGAATCCGTGTACGAGTCTATCGCCGAGTCGCGCAGGTCAACCAATGGCGAAAAAAGAAGGCGAGTCTGATCAAAGTGCGACGCGTACGTGTTTCTTCGATCGTGGCACGATCGCGCGTCATACGCGATACATAAGTACATCGTATACGCGTAATACGCAAACACGCCGTGATCGTATCCGACTATCGCGAGCAAGAGCGCGAGCAAACGCGCGAGCGAGCGAGCACGCAGGAGGAACAAAGTCGGTTATTTTCTCCGCCCAACTTTCTCACACTTTCTTCGCTTTGATCGTCTCTTCGGTGCGCTAGTCGCATCTATCGTTCGCGTCTGCTTTGTCGCGAACATTCGTCGCGGAGTAAACCAGGTCGGCAAGGGCTGATTACGAGGTTGGCGGTCCGTCGCGAATGATCGATCGATCGATCGGTTAATTCCGACGAGGGAACCGACGAGAACGAGAGACGGGGAATGGCGAATGGAAGCACGAAACGTCTTTCGCAGCCTCGATAGGGGGTTCGAGGAGTTGGTGAAAATCCGTGAAAATGTAACTTCGTCGATTCGACGTTGCGATCGAGTTACCAGCAAGACGAAAGAGCTCGGTGCGCGTAACGAAATAGAACAATGTACTCGGACTGGTACCTCTTCGGCCTCGTGAATGTGCAGAAGATGAGTGGAGGCCATTAACCCTCTGATTGACCCCAGCATTCTCCTCTTAATTAAACCGGCTTTTCGAGCATGATCCCTGCTCTCGATTTCTCCGGCGGTCGCGTGGTCCGTCTCGTCGTTTTCCGTATCGGAGCAGAGCCTGTCCATGCTGAAAGAGGCCGGATCGACTCTCCCTCCGCTCTTCTCGTTTAAGACGTTCACCGAGCCGGCGATCATTTTTCTCAAACCGTTCCCGTTGCTTTTCGCTAGGTGGTCGTTGTCAGGATCCGCGGCGCGATCAGCGGCGTGATCAGCGGCGTGATCAGCGGCATGGTCCGAATCGTCGTCGACGATGGGCGTTTTCGAGTTCGGGTTCTCCTCCGAGACGGAGGTAATACCGAATTCCTCGACCTTGGTGATCGATCCCGATTCCCGCGTCTTCGCTGCGACGAGATCGTAAGAGGCGCAGTTACGCTTCACGACGGCTGAAGCGCGCGATTCGCCGGCAAGAGCGCCGACCGCTTGCATCCTCGCGTGTTTAGTCACGACCTCGTTGATCCGAGACGTTTCGTCGCGTAGCCAGCTTCGCATTTTCTCCCATGCCTTTCCCAGCCGATGTTTCTGCAATTTCAGGGTGTCCGTTCTCGATCGAGGAGAAACCGATCGGTAACCGGTGATCGGGCTCAGCGATAAATCTTTCCTAGCTTCTCCCGCGTTTCGAGTCGAAGATCGATCGAACGATTCGAAGCTTCGGATTCGAATAGGCTTTATCGCCGGGTCCGATCGAACCGAGTTCGATCGAGACACGGTCGTCGGTGATACCTTGGGATAACGTCCGTTTCGTCGGGAGACGTTGGAAAAAGCGTCGTTGGAGCACTCGGGATCGGAATAAGAGCCCGACATCGAGACGAATCCAGCATCGTTTCCGTCGCTCTCCGATCTGTCGTACTTCTTCTTTCCATACTTGAGCGACCTCGACGATCGGTTCGCACGATCGTACGGATCCATTTTTCCGTTCGAATCGATCTTGATCGTCCGGTCGCTCGCTTTCTCCGACGCGATTTCTTCCCGGACCTTCTCGTCGCACGCATCGGGCGACGCATCCAGCGACGCATCGCGCCACCCTCGCGACGAATCGGCTCCGTTTCCGTCGTCCTTCTCGTTCTCAATTTCTCCCGATTCCGCCTGATGTATCTCTCCACTCGTGCCGCGCATCTCGTTACCGTCCGTTTCTGTCTCGCGTTCGCGCTCGCTTTCTACCACTTTCTCGCTTTCCATTTCATCGAGGACGTACGAATTCCTAGGAAAGTCGTACAATTCGTTTTGCGTGCACACCGACGCATCCCCGTCCTTCTCCTCCATCCTCGTGGTCGCGAGCGTACGCTCGAGGACGGACCTCTGACTTTTGTCCTCCGCGTGCAGGAAACTGAAGCTGATCTTCGGCATTC